TCGTCTGTACGATCTTCTCACTACTCTCGGTATCTCCCTCCTTTTAAATGGTTGCCCGATTTTTGGTTGCGGCAGAGGAAGAGCAACCGAATGGTCAGTTACGACCGCCGTGCGTGATTCAATGTCTTTGACTGACATAGGCCCTTGTTTCTGCTCGCCTTCTTCTATCCTAGCTGCCAGTTCTTCTTGTCTCTTAATTATGGTATGAATGCTGGGTGCTTTTCCTGGATTTGTCACAAACTCTTTTGAAACATTTTTGGAGGTATCAACTTTTCGCATAGTTTTCCTGGATTTCCTGATATTCTCTCGTTTCTCTCGAATCTGAATCAAGGTTCATGAATTAGCAGTACAGAGTGTACGACATAACTATCTCCTTGTGTTCACTTTAAGTTGGATTTTAGTGAATTTCACTCAACTAATCAGCTAGAGAAAAGAAGGGGGAAAGAGAAATGCGACAAAAGAGGATTCGGACTTTTCAGCGCAAAATTTACGTTCAACTATATGAGTCAACCGCACGTAATATTTATCCAAAAATCGGCTTATTCAAACAAAGATATGCGGCCGTACGCTTCAGTATAGTTTAACTCAGAATACATTAACTGTAATTAACGACAAACTCGCCTTTGAAAAGGAGCTTTTGAGCGGTTATCAAGTGAAATTTATCGCGATCTAATACATTAACTGCAAAGAAAAGCACTACTTTTTGCAAATTTTTTAAAAATATGTCAGCGCGCTACCGTGCCATAGAACCTATGGTAGTCGAAGAAGTTTTAGTTTCAGCCGGTTTTAATTTACTTTTTCAGATTGTTGTTAGGGTAAGATTCAACATGACTTTTTATGGTAAATCCCCTTCGTCCTATCTTTTCCCACCTTCAGGACTGAGAAGCTAGTTGTTGAAAATCATTGATTCAGCGTTGGTTCAACTATTACAAGCTCTGATAACAAATGTTCGGGCCAAATAGTGTTAAGCAAGAAATCGAACCTGTTCTAGCCCTTTTCTTAATGGTGACTTCCTTTTAATTTTCCTTCCAGCGATGGCATACCTATTCACTAGGTTCAGGTAAGATTCCGTTCTTTGAGGTACTACATCTTCTTCCGTCTTCTTCGTTTTCCCATTTTTATGCTTTTTCTTTGATCTCAGCGACTTTCTTGACGAATGGCTTTTATTTGATCTTGACATACTTGACGACCAGTTCGACTGCCTTTCACGCTCTTCTTTTTCAGATACGTCGACCATAACCTCATCCGTATCCCTGTGAACTTGCAGCTCTTTAGGTATTGCATATTTTGCCTTTAGATATTTCGGGCTGACAGGGTTAGTGAACGTTTTCTCACTTCTGCTCGCCTTATCTTGCTCTTTCATAGCTTTTTTAGATTCCTTTATCTTTGATCTGGACTTTTTAATCTGAAACAAAGCTAGATGGAAATACAAAGCTAATATGAGGTTTACCTAATTGTAAATGGGCTAACCTGTTGTTTTGCTATATAACTTCTTCTTCTAGCAGCACTAATTTGTCGATCTAAGTATGATTGCGACTTTTCAGCTAATCTAAAGTTTTCGCTTTTTTTGTGAGAGTGATTTCTAACGCGAGAGCTGGGCGGAGATACTCGATGAACCTTTCCGCCAATAAGTGCTGACTGCGAGGATGAGTACTGTAATGTCGGCGGTGATTTTGGTCGTTCTCTAACAACTCGTTTCTCAACCGGTAGCTCGGAAGAGGAAAGTCCCCATTCCGGAAGAATGCGTGCGTTTTCCTTCCTCAACGTTGAGCTTTCCGTTTTGAGTCTTGTTTCGCTCGTTGGCATGCTTTCTTCCCCTTTTTTCTTCTTCCCCTTTTTTTGTGACGATCTGGCCTTTGCGGCTTTCATGAAAGTGGCTTCTGAGATGTTCGCAGGTTCTCGTTCTAATTTCTGACGCAGTTCACGTTTTTTAACCTTTCTTGATCCACTTGAATCTGTAGATTCTTCTCTACAAATTTTCAATTCCTCAGGAACGTCATATTTTGCCCTCAAGAATCGCGGTGAGACCGGATTCTTAAATGTTTTAGCAGATCTCTTCTCTGAGTCAGACTCTCTCATGGACTTTTTGGATTTCTTTATACTGTCTCTTGCGTCGCGAATCTAAAAAGACGAGTGTTACTTACAAATCTCCTTTTAGCTATCACCACTAGTTTGGTTTGAAATATTTCCATCAGTTGTTCACCGTTGAGGATAGCAAGGTGACTATGACTTAAATGCATTCTGAGACGTATTAGAAAAGGGTCGAAGCGCACGAAGGCGTGTACTTCTCATTCTCAGTCAATCTAAACTATGCTATTTATTGATACTTTTGGCTCTTTCCCTTATCGGACCCCCAAACTCTAGGTGGATCTTGTTGAAACTCGTTTAGAATGATTTGGCATTTTATCCGACTCATTCCGCTCGGTGCGGCCACAATAGAAAAGTTCGGTAATTAGACGTTGGGTGGTTAGCATCATTAGTTTAGCTGAAAGTAACTTAGTGTGGTTTATAATTGCTGATTAAGAATATAATGCTTATTTTCGTGACAGCTTTTTATAGGAGAAATACGGTAGAAACATTATGAGACATGAATTCGTTTGAAGCCTTACTTAGGAGGATCTTTTGCGATCACTGATATGAT